CTCTTTCCTTCTCTCTCTCTTTCCTTCCCTCCTTCTTTCTCTCCCTCCCTCTGCCTCCCTCTTTCCTTTTCTCCCTCCCTCCTTCCTTCCCTCCCTCCTTCCTTCCCTCCCTCTTTCCTTTCCTTCCCTCCCTTCCTCCCTCCCTCTTTCCTTTCCTTTCCTCCCTCCCTCTGTCCTTCCTTCCTTCCCTCCTCCCTCCCTCCAGCCACACACATGCTGCCCTGTCGCAGTGCTCCGTGTTGTCTATTTCTCTAGGATAACAACCTAAAAAAGACCTAATTTAAAGACAAATGTTCATGTAGATGCATGTTTTCAAGAGGTTTATTTTTTCTTCTTTTGTTGTTTGGGGTTTTTTTTTAATTATTTTTTCTCCCTCCTTAGGAAACCGACCACACACTGCTCCGCAGGATTTGGGCTAAATTAAAGCCAAATAAGGGACGTGGTTTTTTTAGCAGCTCGTGGAAGGGTTTTTGTCTCGATCTGACGTTTGGAAAAGAGACTGGCGAATGAATTTTGGCTTCGTGTCCGAAACCTGCTCTGGTGGAGGCTTAACTTTAGCAGGGTTTTTTTTTTTTTTTTTTTGTGGTTTTCAGGCTTGTTCTCCCGTTACAGCTGTTACACCCCACGCTCTGGTTACCTTGCAGCCTCCCTGTCCCACGCTGTGTGTGCAGCTCCCAGCTGAGCCAAGGTTTTAATTTGAGTGTTGCCTCAAAATTAAGTATTTAGCAGCAGCTTGACTTAGAGAAACCTTAAGAAAAAAACCACAAGTTAGTCCCCTGGTGGGAGCACGACTTAGAGAAACCTTAAGAAAAAAACCCCAACTTAGTCCCCTGGTGGGAGCAGGTGGCGAGGGGAAGATGAACACTGCAGCCAGCAGTTACCCCATGGCCTCACTCTACGTGGGTGACCTGCACCCAGATATCACCGAGGCAATGCTGTATGAGAAGTTCAGCCCAGCTGGTCCTGTGCTCTCCATTCGGGTCTGCAGGGATATGATCACTCGCCGCTCCCTCGGGTATGCCTACGTCAACTTCCAGCAGCCTGCAGATGGTAAGTGCTGATTGCAACAACATCCCTGGCTTTTTTCCTTCACTTTTCACCTTTTTTTTTCCTCCTCCCCACCCCCCAAATTCCCGCTGCTGTTGGTGTGTGTTACCATGTAGCTGCCTGCCACAGTATTGCAGTTGCAGGGTAAGTAACCACTTGTTAGTGACAAAATAATCTGCACGTCTTGATGGCAGCTCTGATAATTAGACCTACTTCTGTTACTGGCAGCAGATTTTGGAGATTTGGGTTTGTTCCTCACCTAAGAGAGCAATCCCCACTGTGTTCCTCTTTGTTCTGGTGTTGTTTGGGGCTATTTTTATGGGTGTTTGTGCAGTCAGTCCCAGAAAAAGTTCAGGGTAGTCAACCCTGGTTGAATGCTCAGTTAACTGACTGATCTTCTGGCTGCTCCACTCACTCCAGTTTGATATTTGGGATATCTGATGGGCTGCTGTGTTTGTGCAAGCAGCTGGATGTGTTTCCCAGTCCTGGGAAAAGTGGTGGTCTTGCTCTAATGGGAAAGAAGAGGCATAATTCAATGCATGGGATACCAGGTTGTCTCATGTGCAGATGTTGCTTTGCTCTTGCCAGACTCTTCCTTTTTTTTCACACTTGAATTTGTTTCCTGCCCAGGTAGGTATTCCAGAGGCAGCATGTGAAAGATGGGACAGGAGAGGTCATTTTGGAACATGTCTTTTCTGGAAGAAAAATGGGTCACCGTTTTCTGCCCTAGTTTTCAGAGCTTTTGCTTGCTGACTTGTGCAAGTTTTATTGCTCTGTGCTGTGATTTAGCAGCATTCAAAGGATAGGTGAGAGTGAACTTTCCCTTGAATTCAGAATCAGTTCACAGCAGCACAGACTTGAGCAGCAAATAAACTTCCCTTTAGCTTGTAGTAGGTTATCCTGCTTTACATTTTCCCAGAGCTTCCGTCTTCCCCCAGGTCCAAGTAGCTTCTGATGTCCTTTCCTTGGGATATAGACTGATTTGACTGGGCACTTTCTCTTGCCAGGCTGATCAAAATCTGGCTTGCACCCCACTGTGTGATTTCTCAATCATGGAACTCTCAGAAATGCTTTTTATGCAGGCTAAATATTTGTGTTTTAATACTTCTTGGTGCGAAGGAAAGAGCCTGAGAATCTATGTGATCCTGTCCTGCTCTTATAAAACTACTTTTATACATTCATTCATGTGCTGAACAAGCGAAGGTACAGCTCACCCAGCTCACCTGCCTTTGCCTCTGATCTTGTTTTGCAGGATAAGAGATGTAAAAACAAGCAGCAGGAGTAAGGAATAAGGAATTCAGGGCTTGGATTAGATAAGTGCTGGGATGATGTGGTGCAAAAGTATAGATGAAGTTCTCTAAAATTAGAGAAGAGCTGTGTAATCTGTAGAGGTGATGTGAGAAGGGAAGAGTTGCTGGTCACATCTGCACCTTGTACAAATGAGTGTCTTTGCAAGATGTTCCCAGGTAATCTTTTATGGTAATAACTAGGCAGGAGTTGAGAGGGAGCTTCACCATTCTGGGCTCCTGGTGAGGCAGCAGACATTTTAGGAAGCTCCTGGACTTGGAGTGATACTTGGAGCAAGTAAGTGGTGTCTTGTTACTAGTAGGTCTTAGAAGGTCAAGTGATTTAAACCTAATCATTGAGTGACTATTGGGAAGGAGAAATAGTCAAGCTCCTCCTGCCCTCACGAAGAGATCTCTGCTGAAATGCTCCACATTTCTTCTGTGTGGCAAACTGCAGTGTGTGTTACTTTGCTTAAGTAAAAAAAAAACAAAAAAAAGGCAGCTACTGTACTACCTGTAATGCAGCAGAACATGAACAGGTAATTTGGAAGAGGTAAAATTGTTGGTGTGTTGTGATCTCTCCAAATCAGACTTGAACGTGAAGAATATAAGGTTTATTGTGACGTGCAGAAACTGGGATTGTTTTCAAGGTGGCAATACACAGCACTGAAAGTAATTGGGAAGTTTTGTGCTCTGCAAACATGTAGAGAAGTTCTTGTGGACAGGTTGTATGTTTGAAGTGGCAGTAGGTGTTAAAGAAGTTGCTATGTGATGGTTTACATTTCCCTGGCAACTGTTGAGGAAGGGTAAGTGTCTTGTAAATCAGAAGAAAACAGTTTTAACCCTTTTTTTTTTTTTTGGTGGTAGAAAGGACTCTGTCCCTAGGGCCACAGAGCAAGTCAACTAGCTAATTACCTGGGCCAGGAGGAGCTCACAATGTCACATCCTGAGTGTTTTCTGTACTTCCAGAGTTTGTATCCAAAGTGGGTGAAAACTTGTGTTAAGGGTAAGTGTCTTGTAAATCAGAAGAAAACAGTTTTAACCCTTTTTTTTTTTTTTGGTGGTAGAAAGGACTCTGTCCCTAGGGCCACAGAGCAAGTCAACTAGCTAATTACCTGGGCCAGGAGGAGCTCACAATGTCACATCCTGAGTGTTTTCTGTACTTCCAGAGTTTGTATCCAAAGTGGGTGAAAACTTGTGTTTTACATTTTGAGTGTTTTCTGTACTTCCAGAGTTTGTGTCCAAACTGGGTGAAAACTTGTGTCTTTCTTTACATTTTGTTAGCTAGTGGAGTGATGCTTGACCCTGGAAGGAGCTGCTTTCAGGCTGTGCATTGTTCACTGGTAGTCTGCTGCAGAGAGGTTATTTTTAGGGACAATGAGCTTTGCTGGTTTTGATTGCAGTTCTTTGCTGTAGTAACCAGGGAATGCTGAATACTGAGCCTGTCAGACTGTGATAGGCAGATTAAGGAAAATGCTTCAAAGTTCTAGCTGGTTCCTGCTCAGCTGTGGTTGTTAATATTTATCCTCTTTGACTGGGAAATCGTGAAGGAAAACTCATTTCATTTGAAAGAAAAGCTGAATTTCCCTTTTCACGTCTTCTTCATGCAATTTAATTCCATTCCAAGGGTTTCCAGCATTGATGGTCATGACGTGACAACTCAAGTCATGAAGCAGAGAAACAGAGATAAGATGTTCTGAAAGTACAGGGAAAGCAGAATATTTCCCAAGCCAAGGAGGATCCCGGAGCTGAGATTAGATAAGTCTTGGAAGAAGAAGTTGTAGAGGAGTAGAGATAAACTTCTTGTTTGTTCTCTCCCTTGAAGAGGAGATGATAACATAAGGGAAGATTTGTGTAATGTAAGTGCAGGTGTGAAGTTAAAAGGGAAGAGACATATGCTCCATTGCAGCAGCACTTTGCTCTCACTTCAGCCACCAAGGGAGTTAAATGTGTTCTGTGTGCACCTTCTCCTTTAGGAAATGAGTGGCTAAATTTGCACTCTGTGCTGTTGTTGTCAGTGGGTTTTTTTCCCTTTTTTTTTTTTTTTTTGCTTAGTGACCTAAGTGAGAACCTGGAGGTTTGCATCGTTTCCATCCTTGCTGACTAAAACTTGTGTGGAGTTTCTCCTGGGTGAATCTTAGGGGGTGTATGTGGTTTTCTGACTTCATCCTGCTCAACCACAGTCACTAATTCCAGCATTGTGTTAGCTCTGCATCAAGGAGAGGTTAATTACTCCGAGGCCTGAGGCAAACTGCAGTGAGTGTTCAGATGATTTTCCTAGTCAGAAGGCCATAGAAGAGGAATGAAAAGGAAGCCCCTAGTCAGAAGGCCATAGAAGAGGAATTAAAAGGAAGTTGAAAGGGGTTAAGAGTGTGTCTAATGTTCTAGATACGAGTTGCAGTTGAGTCTGCTGGAAGGATGACAGGAACCAGTGGGAGAGAAACAGATACAGGAACTGAAATGGCCGAAGCTTTGTGGTTGAAATAGAAGAAAATGAGAAGGTGTTTGCTCAGATTAAGGAAATGAATCAGATGTGCTTAGTGTGAGTCATTCACAGAACTCTTGCTGATCCTTTCCATGTTTCCTGAGGTCCTGCTCTAGTGGGATTGTGTTTCCACCTGAGGGTATGACAGACCTCCCTCAAATCAGGGAATCCATGTAGGGCTGTCCCTGCTCACAGTGTCTGAGCCAACTCCAAGCAGGGTATAATAATAGAGTGGAGCAGCAGCAACCTGTTGAAAGAGCAGTGCAATAGTATCTTAAGTGTATGCTTAGGAAGCCTGAAGGGACTGGGCTAAGCTCCTAACTAGTCTGTGTCTCAGTGGCTGCTGTGGGGACGTTTCACAGTTCCCTCTGGT